GGTTTAGGGTTTAGGGTTATGGTTACAGGAAAGCCGAAGCTTTCAAGGATGGCGGTGTTTGTTCTTTCCCGGTGGAGTCACTGCAGACCGGATGCCAAAATGGAGTGCCTTTTTTTTTTGGGGGGGGGNNGGTTCTTAAAATGACGATCCTACTACTCCTCTACTTTCGGAAGCTCCCGAGTCGGTGGGGGGGGTGAGCCAATTCAGATTTTGCGCTTGGTTCAGGGGTGAGGGCCGTTGATTAGGGATTCAGGTTCTGGCCCAGAAAGCACATAAAACAGAAGCTATGACTTACCCCTTTATGGGTATAATATATCGCGATAAAGCAAGAGCTTATGTTGAGGATTTCGTTGGTTCCTAGCTGAGAGCTTGGCATCTACAGAGTGTAGTCTTGATTGCACATGGCTTGGCATTTCAGGCCGTGGCAGGTTCTTGCACGCGATGCCTCTTCACACTGCAAAAGGAATGACCTCAAGCCGAAGTCCTGCACAAAGCAAAGCTCCTTTTTCGCTGCACAGGCGGGCTTGGTTGCTGAGCTACAAGCTGCAGGCCACCCCAAACTCTCCAGACCTAATCCCTAATCCCTACAAACCTGAAACTCTGAACCCTAGGGCTTTTTCGGCTGGGCCGTTTTTTGCCGACAGGGCTTCCGGCTCTACAAGCTCATAAGTGTCAGTCTGATTCGAGACTGGAAGGACTGGCATTAAAGAAAAATGCCCATCATAGTTCACTGGCGCTGGCACACTTTCGGTGTAGGGACTTGTCGTTGGATGTTGCTGGCAATGCTGCGTGCGCGCACTTGCCTGTTTCCATGCCTGCCCCCTAGACAAAAGGCAAGCGTGTTATCTTTGTCGGCGACGGGGTCAACGATGCACCGGCGCTGACTTCCGCAGAGGCCGGTTTGGCTGCTTTCCCGGCCATATCGGGTTACTTACGGCTAAGGGCTCAATAGCTCCAGCCCATCGTGCAAAGGAGTGCGTGGCCGGGCTGACTCGTTTCTATCGGATTCTATCGCGTCACCTTCAGTGCTGTTGTCATGCTGCAGCTGAGGCAGTGCAATACTTGTAGTCGGCTTTACGTAGTTCGATGCACTAGAGGTCACAGGCATTCTGCCCTTTGTCGGTTTTCCCCTGGCCAGGTCGGTGTGGCAATCGGTGCCGGAGCTCGGCTTACAGTGGACTCTGCGGATGTTGTGCTGGTGAAGTCAGAGCTTCAGGCCCCCGAACAGATTCCACGGGTGCTCTTCGTTGACGTGTTGTAGTGCAACAACAACGGGCCAATGTTCGATTTGTTAGCTCCGATGGTTGCCGTAAGCCCCAGACCATTGGAGATTTCTGAAGTGTCAGTGCTACAAAATTACTCGCACGGCTTTCCTGAATGGGTGATCTGTCCTTCTGTCTTGCCACGGTCGTGCCATCAGCGCGGGGCATTAAGGCAAAATGACTTGAGATCGATGCGTGCAGGAGTTGCTGACCATGAAGCAACTGGCACTGGCGACGGTCTTCTGCATAAAGCACCTCGGACATGCAGAGGTTTGAGGGATTTTGCAGTTGTATGGTAGGTGCAAGGCTTGGGTGTAGCATAGGTTTGACTGTTTGACAGTGCTGGAGTTGCTCTCGTGCAATGCTTGGGGCCTTGGACATGCCGCAGTGTGTGAGAAGCCCAGGCGCAATTTCCTTTGGGCCTTCGTGTTCAACGCATGCATGATCCCGCTGGCAGCCGGGGTTTTGCACCACCAAGGCGCATTGCGGTTTAAGGCCGGTAGCATGTGACTGACCCGGGCATACCATAGCTGCAGGGATCCACCTGCCTCCGGCAGCTGCAGCTGCGGCGATGGCGCTGTCGTCTGTCACGGCCGGGTCGTGGCAGATCATACCTGAAATTCGCGACCCCTACAATTTCCTGGCCGGAGTCATGTAACAAGCAAAAAATGCCCAGGCCTTAGCCGTGTATTCTTGATGCGAAACTCCCCAACCCCAGCCGTGCAGTTGCTCCTGCCCCATGTTGCCATTCTCAAATGTAAGCCGAGCCCAAGCCCTAAAGCCGTACATAATGGAATTCCGAGACCGTACTAATAGATCTCGATAGACCTTATGAACCGTTAACCTCGAGCACGAACCATGGCGGAGAGGTGGTCTCCTCCTCCTTGCTGCTTCGCCGCTTCCGTCCCCGGCAACTTCGGGTGCCCTTTGCGCCGAATCAGGCGCAGGCGGCTGCACAGCATCTTTAGGCCTCAGGCTTTCTTGCAGCAACTCGCTCCTGATATCGTAAGAATCCGGGCTCTGCAGACTGGTTGGAGATCCAGTTAGTTGGGTTGATTGTTCAGCTGCAAGACCCCTGCTGTGAGCATCGCTGACTTACAACATCTAACATCTCCCCTTGCGGAGCAGCATCGAATCTCCCGACATGACGAACCGGCCAGCCAAGTCTTCTCCTGAAGCTGGAATCTAAACCCTGAGAGCCCTAAACCTATCAGGGCTACCCAGGCCAACTTCCGGTTCGCATGCTTTCTTCTCCGGGTTTCTCATGGCATTCCATGAGATGCTTCAGCCCGAAACACAACTATTAGTGTTTGGTCTTTAGGGGCTTTATGCCCTAAAGGCTAGGACTGAAGGCTTAGATGCAAACATGCTACAAAAAAAAATGCTATGCAGCCATGTCGGAGAAAAATGCGTAGCTCCCCTAGGCCTTGAGGCTTACAAAGCTAAGTATCGAAACCTTCGAGGCACGCAAGGCCGGCAATCGGAAGTACAACAAGCTGGTCGAGGAGCACCCTCTGACAGAGGACTGGGTTTTCGGTGTTCTTATGGCTTTCAGACTACAGGAAATGGGGTGTAACTGAGCGTTCAGGAATTTCAATTTTAGGGTTTATAGCTGTTTAACTACAGTGCACAATCGAATTATGGGCTTCGGGCTAGGAATTTCCCTCAAGTACTGGCATTTCTGAGTTTCAATGTCAAGGGGTCAGAAGCATAGAGCAGGCAAGCAAGGTGACTCTGGTCAATTTCAATATCTACTCGAATCAGGTTCTTCCAGGTCTTCGATTTGGGCCCTAAGCCCTCAGCCCCACGAATTCCTCAACCCCAAGTCTAAGCCTTCAACCCTACAGTTGCACACAGATAAACGGCCCTAAACCCTGCAGCGTTAGGGCCCTTCTGGTTGAAACTGTGTGGCAACAGCGCTGCCAAAGGGTGGGCTTGCCGAGTTCAGGGTTGTTTGGTTTAGGGTTTCGGGGTTAGGGCTTTCAGGGTTTAGGGCTTTCAGGGCTTAGGATCTTACGACCTGTATTTTCGGGATTACAAGGCCTTGGGGTAATGCATGTAACTAGCACTATCCCGTATTTTTTATCCCTGTTGTCATTGTGGTATACTGGACTCCGAACCTTGTTGAACTTGTAAGTCGCCAGATGTTATGTTATATTATGTTATATAGACTCAAAATTAAGCACGACATGCATCAAGGAACCGCCCACATCAGTTTGGGGGATCCCTAACGACACAGTGCGAAGATGCCTATGGGACTTCGATTGATTTCATGCTGAGCTCAAGAGTCGCAGGTCATACATGGCTAAGAAATGCGGGAGCTTGACTGCTAGACTACCAAGTTACTAGATCCTTTGGATTTGTTATCGGCCTACTCCGAAAGTTGTGCGGCCACCGAGTGATTGCCCTGGTTCCAACGGCAATAATTAGTCAGTCCTCCCGGGTCTTGCAAATGCCTTGGTGCTGGTATTTCGGAACTGTGACCAGCAGTCGGTTTTCAGACGCTGTAGAGTTGAGTTGAGGCTTGAGCTCCGAAACGTGTTGCTCACACTTCTTTCAGGAGAGCCCCTGCGGCCTGACTTGCATAAATAACTGTGATCGCGTCTAATTAGGGTCGCGCGACTGCTCATCTGGACGCCTTCTTGACACTAGTTGCAGATGGTTCCAGACAGCCAGCAAGGCAATCACCTGCAGAATATCTCGTGCTGTGCGACTGCTTGCTCTGCTGCTGACGCTGCTGCTGCTATGAGACACAGCTGGAGCTACTGATCTGCAGAGTTGGAACGTCGACTTGAAACGAGCCGCCCGATCCTAAGCACGCAAGTTCATGCCTGTAGAGACCAGCTGTCGAGGTGGGCCTCAGAGGTCCGGCGTCCGGACATCTCCCGAAATCTTCTGTGTGATATCTTCATGGCAGCGAGAATACCCAGTAGGTTGGTCAGTGAGATTGCAAGTAGGGCCTGGTGGATTTCCGGAATCAGTGTGCACCCCTATGTACAGTCCTAAAAGCTGGCACAAGCATTTCTCAACATGACTCCGCCGACCGAGCAGGTACACCTCACAGCTGATTATGAAATATGGACCAGTAGAGTCTAAAGTTCGGTCTTTAAATCCGCGGAAAGAAGTTGCAGGAAGATCGTTTGAAGCTTCAGGGTGAAATCCAGCCATTGCGAATTCAACAATCATGGAGACTTTCTACATCTCTCAGGAAAGGTCGGATGAGGTCTTCTAAAGTTTGCGGTCTTCAGATGAACACATTCTGCCGGCAGTACGCCAAAACCGTAGAATTGAGGTTAGGTGAACACGTTGCGCGGTGTGACGTCGACCCAAACATGCACACCAGATCTTCTCAAGCAAAAACATCCCGGACACTGTGGCGGCAGCACGATCTGGAGCTGTGGTGGGAGCTCCACGAGCTCTGGCTCAAGTCCAGCATGTCCACCGCGCCACAGCGGGAGAGGGCCGCGCAAACCTGCATGAATGTAGGGATTCAATCTGTGCACCCTTTCCGGGAATGGCCGGTTTTTGTGGACGTAGTGTGAAGACGTAGAGACGTCGTAACAAATTTCGAGGGCTTGAGAGGATTTCGGCTTTCTTGTCATGCATGGTGTGGAGATGTTCTGGTCCGCAGGCATTTGATGCGGTTTAGTTTAGTTGTTGGGCGGTTCTGCAACGTTCTTTGGGCAACGGATAGCGCTTTAGTATCTGACGCTTCTTCTTCCGGCAGCCAACCGCAGCCTAACTGGCAAAGCCAGCATGTGGTCTGATTGAAGTGTACAGTTTCTGCCGTCAGCGCGCGGCTGCAGAGGTCCAAAACCCTGTAGCTGCAAAGGGCAAGTGACGATCCGACACTTGCAACTGGCATCCCCAGAAGTACGAAGTCGGAGCATCGACGCAATCGCTTTGGGTGAGTCTGATAGCTATGGACTGCAAGCATGACACAGAGTGGAAAGTGGTTCTGGCTTCATGTTGCTACAGGTGTACTTTGCTACTGTCACAGCCTCACGAAGATGCCGGGCTCATGTAGGAAGCTTCCATGGGTGATTGCTTCAGAAGCTCCGCTGCAACGAGCTGCAGAGACTCGGAGACCTGCATGGGCTTGTGGTTTAGGGCTTACGGTACTGGCTCATAGTCTGGCCCGACTTGAGTCCCGTAGCGAAAAGGGTACTGGCTCAAGTCCAGGCGTAAAAAGGGCTTAGGGCAGTCCGGGAAGGGGAGGCTCTCGAAGCTGTTTCAATCAGTCATGTGGTCGATATCCGGGTCTGGCTGAAGTTGTTAGTGCGGTGCTCCCAATTGCCAATGGGGGGGGTATACTGTAGTCAGAAGAACGGCAGAAACAATTTCATACGACGTGTCGCGTCTTCAAGTTTAGTGGCTGCATGGACCTCTCAAAAAACCTCAATCCTAGATTTTGAGTGTCGTACGCCAGCGGCTAGAGTTGATGTTGCATGGCCTGAAGAGAAACCAGCGCTTTGGAAGTGCAGAATCCGAGCCCGGAGGTTTTGCCCCCAGCTCGTCACCAGATTTAATTGACTTGGAAGCAAAAAGTGGTGCAGACGACAAAGACGAGCCTTGCTAGGGGAGGTCCAGGCCCTAAAACCGATGGCTGTGAAGAGAGTAGTCCTACACCACACCACCGCCCCCCACCCCCCTCCCCTCACCCTCCGTCCCGGAACCATCCAGGAAAATTTAAGAAATTGCTGAGGCAACTCTCAGTACTTTCACAGTGAACGTCTGAAGGCTGAAAGCACATTCATTTGGGTCTGCATTTCCGTCGAGGGTTCATGCCCTGGCAGGCGGAGGGTACTGGTTTCATTATGACAGTTCAGGGACGGAGTGCGGTTACGTAACGGTAGTATGACACTTGCCTCCTTCCTTGAACTCCGGTAGAGTGGGACTTTAAAGCCGATGGCAGCACCCAGCAGCCCGAATTGCTTTGCTCCAGGCTTTGTCCTACCAACGGGTGAACCCTAAGACGTGTCGCTGCTTCGCTTCTGATCGCCAGTCGCTGCAGCGCTTGGGTCTCGTGGTGCGTGTCGGGACCCGAGCGTATCTGAGATTTGCGGCTTGTGGGTCTTAGGTCTGAGGATATGCCGGCCTTGCACCTGACCTGTGTTTATGCAGGGATCAGATCAGTGCTTCTTGTCGTGCTTATTGTTATTATGGTACCTTTTCTTCAGACAGGGATTGGTCTGCGGTGCACCAAGAGTACTCTACATGGCAAGTAGGGTGCAAGACCTTTTGCGGAAGTTGGTTTTGAAGACACCATATCAGGTGCAGCCCAGCAGGGCAGGTCATGATTGGGTCCTGCCATCGCTGTTGTGCAGGAGCTCACAACATGTCTTTTACTACAAAAAAGCATAAGCTGGACCCTAAACCCTAAACCCTGAACCTGCCGTCATGCGACGGCTTGCTTGAGACAGAGTTGTCATGGGAATTGGCTGTACAGCGAAGTTGTAGCAAGAGGCTAGAGGAGATGAGCCTCTGAGCCCACCTGAAGGGTTGACTCGAACCGGGGGCTGTTTGTCTCCTACGCTGGATTAATGTTTGATGGCTAATGCGCCCTCATCGAGCCAATGTGCTGAGTCGTGTACCAGGAACCTCGCCCAGGCGTGTCCGAGTGTGAGTGCTGAAACCCTGAATCTGATACCATACTGA